AATTCTGGTCTTTCTCTTTTCCTTGTTTAAACTTTATTTGTGGACTCCTTATACCAGTTGCTGTTTTTGAACAGAGTAGCAACACATGGTTGATTTCTTCTGCTTCTGGGGAAACTCTGAACTCTAGCCTATCCCACAGAAGTTGGAGGATACCATTTCCTTGGGGTTCAGCCATCCAATGTTCTCAAAAGTCTTCTACTTAAATGGAATTGTTGAGGTTAATGACTCTCTACGTTTAGCCATGTTTTGAAATGTCCTTCTAAGGAAATGGAGGGGCAACCCCATTCCATATGTGAAGTAGAATTTGCAGTCTCTGTCACACACGCCTGTGGAGCTGCCTGTGCCAAGAAGAATTCCTACACTGAATATATACTGTCCCCAAAATTGTTGTGGAGCCCTAGGTCTTTGTCAAGTTACAGGTCACTCTTATTCAATGTTTCATTGCGAAATATATTTTCTAATTCTCATGTCGTTTACTTGACTTTGTGATGATCCCTATGCCACTGGTAAGTATCTCCGATATACACATTGGAACACTATCATCACTCATGAATGGACACATCAGTGCTAAACACAGAGGCCATAGAACTTCCCTACACTCTGTTTTCCGATCTAAGCACATAATTGTTCATCAGACACAATATGGCATTAAAGCTAATGTTAAACTGATTATTCATCATGTCCCTCCAGTCTTTTTCCAGACTCAGGTACTTCCCAGGATTGAGATTTCCCCACACAGTGTGTACAAATTGTTAGATGAATAATCTTTTATTTGGTTGCACTGGAAGAAATCTTTATTCATTTGTTTGTATTTTGTGCTTTCAAAATACAAATTTTGTGCTTTCAAAATGTGTTTGTTTGTGCTTTCATTGTAAGTAGCCTATTAATTGAGCCAGTACGCTCTGTAGCAGGGACCTGCATCTTTTCACTATTTATTGCCCCTTGAATTGTTGTCTCTTGCAGATTGTATTGGTAATTATTTTATGTTTTCTTTTATGTCATCAATTAAATGATAAAATAGCATCCTTGTGCAGTCCTACCAGATACATGCCCATTGAACTAAGTCTTCCTATTTAACAGTTCTGTTTTGAGACCTCTGAGGTTTGTGTTAACTCTGTTTACTGTTATGAGCAGGGACTGGCTTCTGAAATGTCTGATCAAAGCAATGTGGTCTACCAGCTAGATGGCTCAGCCAGGCCACAAACAACTAGCACATGTGCTGTGGTCTTTTCTCAGCATTTTCTAATTAGGGGCACATGTCAACCCTGACCTACACAAGAGAAGAGATTTTGTACTGCTTCACTGTGTGCAACAAGCCATGTGTTCTCTCTACCTGTCAGAAAGTGCAAAATTTGACTTAAATCGCTGGAGAATGTTCATCATCATTTCTTTCTATGCAAAGCTCTATTTCATTTAAACCCTTGAAAGTGATGGAGAAAAAGGGTGATTCAGAATTCATTGCTGCCTCTGATTTAGTAAGATGCCATAACTTGATTCCTTCATTCAATTCTTGGAATTTTATCTCATTTACAGAAAATTGGGTTTATCCATCTTGATGCTGATGAGCGAACGTGGCCTGTCTGTATTTATTAAAGTAAACTATACAAGAAAGCAACATTCATGCATGGAAATATATCTAGTGTGGCCTTATTGACAGCTGAAGTATTTTGAAAATTGAAATTTCCACCATATAGGTCATAATGCTTCCAGCCGTTTTAGTTTTGTCAGCATTTCTAGATCACTGAAAACAGCCAAGAATTAAATTGGAACAGTCAGGAAGTTGCGTAAAAATCTTAAAAGAAAATCAAGTTAATTTTGGTTTGGTCTAAATATTATCCTCAAAATCTGAATTTTCTGCATCTCACCTTCTAGTGTGCACAACTTAAAATTGACTTAATATGGTACATAAGAAGGATACAAAGAATCCTTAGCGTGGATCGCTACATAAATAAATCCTGTTTCTGTGTTTTTATTTTCTCTGCCCCAGGTCCATAAGGAAAGCAGACTTGACCCTTTTTTGCCTCATTTTCCTGTGATCCTTTTTGTTATTTAAAGCTCCTGTAATTGTAGTCAGAACATTTTAGTCATTCTTCCACTTTCAAGTTGCATTTTTTGCACTATTTTTGTATCTTAATAAATGATCAGAAGGGTGATAGACTGCCTGTGCAGTGCAAAGGCACCTAAAGGAGTTCTGGGTACACCAGCACCGGGGCCACAATGGTACAGCCACAGAGGTTCTCTGCAGAGGCAGATGCAGCCTCATTCTTAGCACTGATGGTTGTCCAGGAGGAGCATGCTGCCGATGGGATTCTGTTGCTTGTGAACCTTTGCTAGATTAGTATGTTTATGTGGCTTTGCAATATGGTAACTGCCATTAATTTTGCCAGTGTTGCAAATAGCATGCAGAATGTTGATAATTTAAAACGTGCTTCTCAAGTGGATGTCAGGTGAGCAAAGACTTCAAGTTCATTTTTAAATGCTTTGTCTGTAGCTTATAACTCAATTCAGTGCACAGTTATCACGTTTCCAAATGCAAATTCCACTTAGTTGTCTCTTATTTACTTTTTGTAAATATATATGACCTGAACTTAATATTGTTTGTTAGAGCAGGCTCTAAAATGAAATTCTGGCCTTGCTGAAACTGTATCTGTTTCATTCTGGCCTTCCATAGTCTTCCCATATTCTGATACTGCTGAATTCCACAGCAGAATTCCTGTAGCCTTTGATATGGAATCTGTTTCTTGTTGGCAAGAAGATTTATTTATTTTTTTATTTGATACATACATTTCAAAAGTCATAATTGAGATATTTAAACTTCTGTACTTCTGGCATGTGCAATACAATTTAGAATTTATCTAGGCTCTCTGGGTTTGTTTCTGACCGCATACCATAACTCAGTGGGTTGTTGCCATTAACTCATTTATACTTCTGTTTGTCACCAAAAGCTTTCTTTTGTTTCCAGGTTTGGCAAGAAATCCCGACCTGCAATGTATGATGCAACCCCCATTGCTTATGAAGATTACAGCCCAGATGACAAACCTTTGGTTACACTGATTAAGACAAAAGATTTGTAATCTAGTGTATCTTTTTTGGATTATTTTTCAAAAGGATGGGCTACTAACCTAATTTAAATATTTTTAAGAAGAAAGCATAATAAGTGATTTAAACCATTAGATGCTTCAGAATTTTCTGTAGAATATTTAAGAACCAATTTTCTGCAGCTTTTAGTTTGGACAAATATTTTAAAACAGAATTTGTGAACTTCATGAATTACATTTTAATGTACCTTGAGCTCTATAAACTATAAGCTTATGATAGTGTGTGCTTTTTTCTTGGTAGACACTATTACTAAACCCAGATGAGTTTCTTGTGGTTGTTACAGAACAGAAAACAATAATTAATGAGGAGTTCTTTGACATGTCAGTGCCAGCTTTCTCAGTAGAGGTAGGAAAAATGTGAAGCATACTATGATATATCCATTAATTAAAAAAGTCTAAAATGTTTGTGTTGTGAAAAAGAAACTAGTAAAAATTATTATTGCTAATCTGAATGAATTAGCTTTTGACTTATTCCATGCATGGATAGATAACCTATTTCTCCATTATTTCCTGAAAGTTGCTGAAACATACTCTTGAGTTGATGTTTGACATTTTTGTAATAGTATTCAGGCTAGGCCTTGTATAATAATTAAAGTGCCTCTTGAGGCAAAGTAAGGGCATGATCCTTTAAACATTGAAATCAGTGAGAGAACTTCCATTGACTTCAGTGGGCATGGGATTGGATCCTACAATTGGACTGAATCTATATTTTTCTTTAAAGGTTGAAGTTTTTTATATTGTGAGTAAACTAAGCATATGGTTGGAGTTGTTTGTTTCTTAAAGGTTGTTGATGTACAGTATCGTTTCATGAAATATTGTGTATTTCTCATAGTGCTTCTTATTTAGGATCAGTATGGGGGTTTTGTGGCTGTATTTGATTGCTTATGGGCTTCTTAAAATTCTTGCTTATTTCAGAAAATATTGAATAAATGTTATCAAGTGAAGATTGCAGCTGTTTCTTTGTTTTTCTTCCTTTGTAAGTGCAGTGTTGTCTACAAATTTGAAAGGACATGAGCATATAATGTGTTACAAATAATGCTATAAAAGAAGATAATTCCAGCTATTAATTTGAAAAGGAAAAAAAAATTGGCCTTATTGTCAAGGTAATCTCTCAAAAGTGAGACAAACACAGCACCAGAGTAAAGATGCAGTCCTGCAGTCCGGGCCATAGCTACCACAACCTGTTCCTGAGTGGATCTGGCTGCAAGTCTGGGCTCTAAGTTATAGCAAGAATAAGGTTTTGTCACAGAACAACCTGTTTATGTGAGTAGGCTTGATCTGACTTTGTGTTTCAAAGGTACTGGGGAAGCCAAGACTGCATGATACAGAGGCAAATTGCTGTAGCTACCTATAGATTCTGCTGCATGGTGCTGTGCTACATCCAGTCGGTACCATTATATTACAGGCTGATAAGCACTGAAGGCGTAAGCTCTGGTTGACCCCTTAATGTTGGAAAATCTTGGAATGAATCCAAAATCTTCATATTTCACATAAATAACGTTTCCAGACAGAAAAAAGATGTCACCAGGAACTTTGATCATCTCTGTGTGAGGACAGCCATTGTCTCAGGCAGTCCTTCCCTTTCCTTGCAACCGCTGACATCTCCAGACCTCAGATTATCCACTAAAGACAAATGTAATTAAGAATCATAAAGATAAAAAAGCCGCCACTTACTGTCTTGTTTAGGTGGGCAGAGTGCATCTGGTATGTTACTTTTAATTTTGAATTTCATTATTATTATTATGGCTTCTGGTTATAGTCAGAGCAATTGAATTATTTTCCACATCTTGCACAATTAGTGCTGACAAGAGGTAGACAAATTATTGCAAAGCAAGCTGTTGGATTTGCTAAAATGTAATTTTTATTGTAAGACTACATTCTAGTTTGCCACAAAAAAAAAAAAAAAAAAGGAAGAGAGTAAATGCAGCGGATATGGGCCAAATTTGAAATGTAAAGGAAAGCAAATGGAAACATACTGTAGTAAACTCTTAACTGTTAAAGGGAAGCATTGCTCAAAGGATTCTCTTACTGTTTGGAATGGCCGGATGGTGAACATGCAGGTTAGTAACACCATGCTGTGTTTGAATTATGGAAATGCCAAATGCATGTCAGAAATCCAGAGTACCTTTCCTGACATCCTGTATCTGCTACCATGGGCTTTCAATGATGTTGGCCCAAGACAACAATTACTAGTAAGAGACCTAAAGAAACTAGATTCAGGCCTCCCTTGAATTCTTCAGGCACAGTTTTCTATGACAAAGGCTGTGCATTTGCACTTGGTGGCTGTCAGACTAGCTTTTTTCTTTGGTACAGTTCGCTGCTGCTGCTTTATTCTAGGTGTGGAAACATTTGTTTATGGTGACTTCCAGGAATGCTTTAAGAACCCGTTAGAAAGAAGGGTCAAGAACAAGCTATACCCGATAGCCATTTTTTGTAACTTGTGTGGAACAGGGTCAAATACATTGTTATAATTGATTTGTTAATCAGTTAGAAAGGAAATACTCATTCTTCAGAGTTTTCAGCCTTTTCAGTCATAAAATATTGGTTTGCCTTTGAAGAACTGCAAATCTATACAAAGTAGGGAAACAAGCAACTCTGTTGTTGTAGGGAACATACATATTCATAGTCCATATTTTACAAGAGAGACATTGCAATGAGCAGCAGCCCTTCTGCATACAAATCACACCTTGGTAGTGATTCTTGACCATCCTATATTTCTCTCCAGTGACTGACCTGAAGATAAGTAATTTGTGAGGAGCTATTTTCCTGTCAGCTTGCAGCCTCTAGCTTCTGTGAATCATCCTGTGCTTCCCGTGAATTGTGCTTTGAAGATTACTTTTGCTTCTTCCAATTTAATTTATTGAACTCTGATGGCATGTTATGCATGCACTATGCCTGAATCCGCGCACTTTTGAGATATTTGTGAGGCACGGCACTGCCTGCCAGATGGAGCAGCCCTCAGACCTGGAGGGAACAAACCCGTCCTGAGTTTTTATCCCAGCTCTGAAGCTAGAACAAGTTGGTTACTGTCTTTATATGCCAGATCATGTCTGAGGATGTACATGAATGTGGACAAAAGGACACCGGCTATTCCACATCCTTTTCCCAAACCAGATGAGGTTTTTTTCTGTATAGGGAGCAAATATCGATGTATAGCAAATACCACCTGCTGTTAATATACTACACATGGGGTTTTTTTTGCTGTAAATCATCCAGATGCAGAAAAGGGTAATTGTATGTGCTCTTCCCCCTGGCAATGGGCTAACAGCCTGCAGCTCCTCCTGCAGTTGGGGACAAGTCTCCAGGCTTGTCACTAACATCCAGTACTTGTGTGCTCCCCAAGTTTGGCTCTTTTTTTCTTCCTCTTCCGTCTGGAAACAGCTGAGCGTTCCTGTAACATCCAGTACTTGTGTGCTCCCCAAGTTTGGCTCTATTTTTCTTCCTCTTCCGTCTGGAAACAGCTGAGCGTTCCTGAGTTTTTTCCTCCAGCAGCATGGACATCTATTCTTGCAGGCTTCTTGGGGTGGTGTGAAAGGTGTAGTTACAGCTCTGCGTTGTGATACATGTGCTAACAGGAAAATGTCACGATTTACATGGATCCTGGCTGGAGCCAGTCCAAAATGATGAAGACAGTGACCCCGTCCACGTGGTTGGGCTAACTGCGGTATGATATAAATACCACCACCACAAAGGCCCAAGGGAACAGTTGAGCACAACAGCTAGGAAACACGTTAACTAAAACCAAACAAATTATCCCCATTAAAACCTACCGATATAACCTTAACTTTAGCTGAGAAAAATGAGACCGTTGCCACAGCTTCAGCCTCTCTTCGCATCTCCTCTAGGAGGTGTTTTGAGAATTGTCGCAGGTTCCATCCCTGCTCACTGCAGGGGGGTTGGGCTCGGTGATCTCTCAAGGTCCCTTCCAACCCAAAGCATTCTATGATTCTAATAATTTGCACGCCACCTGTGTGGGCTCCAGAGGTGACACGTAGCTCCTTGGTGAGAAGCCTTGGTCCCCTACCAGGACCAGACCTCGTACTTGGGAAGAAGCTGGCTCTCGCTCCTCCCTAACTCTAACACCCTTCATCTT